AACTGATCAGAAAAAGCTTTCCAAAGAAAGCACCTGATACATACTAAATCACTAACAGTGCCCTGAAGTATCTTCCTTTGAAAGCAATTGTATATTTGACAAGCACAACTAACGCAATACTAAGATACTGTTTCTTCCCAACCATATGGAAGGAAGCCAATGTAATCATGATACCAAAGCCAGGAAAGAACCACATATTTCCGCAAACTTACATGCTGATGGGCTTACTTCTAGAAGTCAGTAAGATAGTAGAACGATTCATCCAAATAAGACTCAAATCGCAGACAGACAGAATAGGGTTAATCCCAGAAGCAGAATTCGGATTTAGAGTTTAATATTCCAGCGAAACAGTAGCGTCTGATTCAGAGTGGACGGCTACTAACAGTGTCTAACCCAGAGTGGGCGACTGATACAGCACTCACCAACCCGTCTGGCAATCGAGGTGTCTTAATACCAAAATTCCTCTTCATGAAACATGTCGAATTATAAAACAAACGGAATAGAGGTAAGAAGAGGAGATCGAAAGATAAGCGATGAGTTTTGCACTTCACATATAAGGTGGTCCACTTCTGGTCATTGTTAACCGCTTCTTTTACTTCTTTAGGACAGGTAAGACAAAGAAGAGACATGCAAGACAGGTGTAAAATATACAGGTAACGTGACAATTCTTCGGCTGAGAAGAAGAGATCTAGAGATAAGCTATTAATTCTTACAACCCTCTGGTCATTGACGATCACTTCTTGTACTTCTTGTACACCCCCAAGGTCAAAGAAGGCTTGATGGAAAGGTTACCAAAGTGGGTTTGTACCCCGCTTGCTATACTATTAACATACAAATTAATAGCATAAACAACAAAGAAGGAGTGAAAACTCCACCAACCTGAGAAAAACCAACCCAAGAAATCCGCAATCAGTTACAACTGAAAATAAAGAATCTTAACTCTGACCTATAACCAGAAATCAGTAAAAATTAAATAAAAAAGGTACTCAAAGAAATGAAGAATAACAAATCTCCTGAGAAAGATGGAATAACTGTGGAAATGCTAAAAAATAGGAAAAACACAACAGTGGAAGTCCTTTATGTACTATTGTATAAAATATTGAACACAAAACAAATACCCACCACATGGAATGAGGCAATAATACTATTACTATTTAAGAAAGGCGATAAAAAATTGAAGAGCAAGGACTGTATAGATAGATAGATAGATTTCAGCGAACTAGAAGTACTTAGACTTACAGAATACATAGATTGTAGCTGAATTCATTTACAGTAGCAGCCTTTTTGGATGTAAGCAATGCGTTCGACAGAGTGTGGCATGAAGGACAAAATAAGAGATTATGGTTAGAGCGAGGACATGATAAAACTGATCTTGTACCTAAGTGACTGGAGATTCAGGATCCAGCTTTTATATGAACACGGAATCCCAGAAGCTGGAGTATTAAAGGGGGCACTCTTGACACCCCTCCTGTATAGCATATATACAACAGGCGTTCCAAGAACACCCAGAATAGTAATCAGCCCTTATTCAGACAGACAACACTGCAATTGCGGCAAAACATAGGAACCTGGATATGGCTGTAAAAGATCTACAGAAGGCACTGGATGCGATAGAAGTACCCAATGAAAAAATAGCAATAATTCCAGAAAAGACCCAAGCGGTTATCTTCAAAAAGAGAATAGATAAACCAGAAGAACAGCTAACAGCGCAAGGCAGACCCATCGAATGGCAAATCGAAGTTAAATACCTAGGGGTCACAATGGATTAAGGTCTAACATTTACACCACATGTTAATACGTTACATATGTGGCGCCCTTTATCAGCTCCATCAAAATATGCATCAAATTATAATTTCTCATACTCAAGAGCACACAGTTGTAAATTTTTATGTGTCAATGTCTCCAAACATAAAATTACAGCAAAAAACAAAATTTTAAATTTCCACTTTAACACCCTGTATCTTTCTTAATATCAACATTTTATTACAGCAGGTTAACTTAAATTGAAATATTTTAAAGTGTAGAATCTATTGTTTCTTGTTGTATAATTACTTAAGGTCTTGGCTTGGAACTGCCAACAGTACCTCAAAGAACTGATAAAGTATATTAAAGTAAATATATGTTACGGATACTGGGGCATAGAGCAATATATTTCTGGATTTCATTTCGTAACTTAAACCAATTATAAAGGTACATATATATATATATATATATATATATATATATATATATATATATATATATTGTGGCTAAACACCCCGTACGGGGGGGTTACGCCGCTTAAGCTCTCTAGATCTATTTTACGAGGTAGATCAGTCCTCATTTTCTTTAATTAATTCTAATTTAATCAGATCTTGGTCTTCCACGTCTTCGTTTACCAGCTGGTCCATTCCAATATTGAGAATATTGTCGTAGATGGTCCTGATCTCCATATATGTCCTAGCCATTTTGCCCTTTGCTGTTTTAGTTTACAACCTATATCCTCTTTAATTCCGTTTAGTAGTTCATAATCCGTTCTATGTCTATATTGGTTTTCATTAATTTTTATTGGTCCTAATATTGCTCTTAGTATTTTCCTTTCTAGTATTCTAAGGTCTTCCTCTTGTTTTTTTGTCATGCTAAGGGTTTCGGCAGCATACATCATAGTCGGTCGAATTATTGTTTTATATATTTTCATTTTTGATTTTTTGCTCAGTATTTTATTTTTTAGAAGCTTTTTATTTGCATAGTATGTCTTATTTGCTGTAATTTTTCTTTAATTTCTGTTTCCCTTTCTCCATTGTTTGCTAATAATATTCCCAAATACTTAAACTTTTCTACTTCTTCAAATATACATTCTCCCAGTCTAACTTTTTGTTTTCATATTTTTTGTCAAATCACATTATTTTTGTTTTTTCTTGATTTATTACTAATCCCATTACTTTCCCTTCTGCTACCAATTCTTTTAACATACTTTCCATTTTTTTTGTTCTTTGTTATTATCACAATATCGTCGGCATATGCTATTATTTGTCCCTCTCTCGTTCTAAGTGTACCTTTGTTGATTTTTCTGACTATATATTCCAGGGCAAGATTAAACAGAGTTGCAGATAATGAATCTCCTTGACGTACACCTTTATTTATAACAAATTCTTCTGTGTCTCCTTCTTGTGTTTTTACAGTTACTACGGTTTTGCTCATTGTCATTTTTATTAATCGTCTTAATTTGTTGTGTATTCTCATTTCTCTCATAGCTGTAAGTAATTTCGCTCTGTTTATTGAATCAAATGCTTGTTGGAAGTCTATAAAAAGCAGTTCAATTTTTATTTTATATCCATAAGCTTTCTCCATAATTTGCTTTACCGTATGTATGGCATTTGTTGTTGACTTTCCCCTAATAAATCCGCATTGATACGGTCCCATGATATTTGTTGTCGCTTTGGCCAGTCTTCGTTGTATTAAGGTTGACATAATTTTATACGCTGTGTTTAATAATGTCTGTCCTCTATAATTATTACACATTTGTTGGTCTCCTTTTTTATGGATTGTGATAATTTGTCCTTTGTGCCATTCTTCTGGCATCTTTTCTTCGCCCCATATGACTTTTATTAATTGGTATATTTTTTCTCTGAGTTCATGTCCACCATATTTTATTAGTTCCATGTTTATACCGTCTATACCTGGTGCTTTACCGTTGCGACTACTGTTTATAATTTCCTCAAGTTCATCTCTCGTTGGTTTTTCTAGCTCGGCTTCTATCATCGTGGTCTCTTCTTCCACATTTTCATTTAAGTCTTCGTCCTCTTGTACTGTTAATAATTCTTTACAATAATCAGTCCAGATTTCTTTAAACTCTTTGTCGTTTTCTGATACTTTTCCATTTCTGTCCTTTATGCCTTTTATCTTTCCTTTGAAGGTTTTGTTCTGCTCGCTAATTTTCTTATAAAATGCTTTTGTGTTTATATTTGTGTTTTCTTTTTCTATTTCATTTATCTTATCATTTAACCAGGTTCGTTTAATTTTTCTTATTTGTTTCTTACATTCTGTCCTTAATTTGTTGTATTCTTCTTTATATTCTTGTCTATTTGTTCTGATCCACCTTTGTCTTATTTCTATCTTCTTTTTTAACATTTTATGACAGTCTTGATTATACCATTCTTCTTTTTTGTTTTTTTTTCTCTATCCCTACATGTTCAGAAGCTGTTTCATTTATACATTTTTTTATATTGCTCCATTCTGTTTTGACATCCTCTGTATGTTCACAGTATTCCTTCAGTTTTTGCTTATATCTTCTGCATATTTAATTCTTCTATCTGTAGTATTTAATTTTTCTATGTACCATTTGTCCTTTGTTGTCTTGTTTTTTAGCGTTCTTTTGACTTTTTGTCTTAACGTTGAGGTAACCATGAAATGGTCTGTGTCTGCATGTGCACCTCTGTATGTTCTCACGTCTGTTATCGATGTTTGCTTTCTCTTTGTGATGAGTATATGGTCTATTTGGGACCATGTTTTTTGGTCTGGTGAGACCCATGTGACTTTGTGGTATACGGGGTGTGCAAATTTTGTACTACTGACAATCATATTGGTGCTAGTTGCTAAGTTGCATAATCTTTGACCATTATCATTTGTTTTTTCATGTAATGTATATTTACCTGCTACTTGGTTAATGTAGTCTTCTTTGCCTATCTGAGCGTTAAAATCTCCCATATGTATAAAGATACATAACAACTGCAAAATCGTCTGGCGAAAAGAAAAATAATTTTTTTACCTTTGATATTAGTTGTAAAATGATACATTTCGAATAAGAATTGTAATATGATAATATTAAAATTGTTTTTTTGATCAATTCTCTCTAATTTAAAAAACAAAAATTTGACATAATATAGAAAATATCCTATCAAATTACTATTTGAAAACTGAATACATATATTTCATGAACCATATCAAGATAAATCCCACCGTATACCCTATCCGCTTTGTCTTTAAAATATACACAACAACACAGTTACCAGCGACTTCTTTCAACAGAAGCCGCTCTTAAACTCTAAAAAAGTATGTTCCGTCACTGACACCATCACGTTCTTCTGCTCTTGTCTCCAGTGCCTGAAAGCATAGAAGGCAGCAATCACCACTAGCAGCAGTGCGGTGATGGCCAAAGCAGATAGAGCAGCTGAGTTTAGGTAGGCCGTGGGAAATCCTCCTCTTATCGAACAGTTGGATTCCTGCTCGTCATTACCGGATGGACAGTGTCGTAGGCCGTCGCACCAAAGATCTGAGCTAATGCAGGCACCGAGCTCGGGACAACTGTAACAACAAACAAGATATTTTCAGCACATATTTATCTTTTGTACAGTTAAAAAGATGAAAGAAGAAAAAATACTCAAATAATATTTTTAAAAAATTCTGACTATGAACTCTTAAAAACTTTTATTAAAACTTTATTATTTATTGCATATTACTATAATTTATAGTCAAAAATTTTTTTTCATAAAAAACTGTTCTAAATTTAATAGGTGTAAATGGGATGTGCTGATCACGAATCTGTACTACCCGCTGCACACACATCGAATTTGGACGGTCGAACCAATTCCTTTGATGGCGCGAAGAAACAAATGTGAGCGAGCACACACATCGATCGCCAAACGGCACGGCATCGATGTCGTGTGATGGTCGTGTGGCGATCGATGAATGTCACTGCATTCACGGCTGCCGTGGTCGTTGCCGTCGTTCCATAGTATCAAATGACCGCGCGCATACACATCGATCTTTCTCGACCGACCAGAGGACCAGTTGCGTTTTTTGACACTGTTCAAGGTACGTCGCTCCGTGTTGCTACGTGGTTCTGTGTTGCTCAGTGTGATTTTGTGTACTCCACCTAACAAACCTTTATGGATTAAAAACCGTCATCGAATAAATATCGTGTAGTGTGCGCGCAAGGCATCATCGACAAAAGTTCGGTCGAACTTTTATCGACCGTCCAAATTAGATGTGTATGCGCCTAGCCTAGTGTTTCTCCAGCACGTCAGGTTTTCAACAGAAGTGTGTTTGAAATTTTTTATAGAAACTGCCAAAAATACCAAGAAACATTTATTGAAACTTAATTTAATATAAAATTACAACGCAAAACTGAGTTGTTGTTAAAAAAAAGGATTCAGTGTAACCTATGTTAGACAATATTTGTATTTTTTGAATAAAACCGTTCTCTTTTTCAATGAAAACTCTGATTTTTGGTCTTCTTTTTATAGATTTTTGTGATCGAGTCTCTTTAAGGTCCAGCAGTAATCAGCCATCATTCTTATATCCCATTTTTCTGAGTAACGTCTCTTTATCCTCTTTATATTTTGATGAAACTTCTTTCCATGTTTCTCGCTGACAGCTCCAAGATTTTCAGGAAAATAGTCAACGTAGGAATTCAGAAAAAAAGTTTGACGCTCATATTGCATCCAAGTTTTTTATAATTTTCGACCATGTTGGCTATAATTTCTTTATAGTTTAGAGACTTATTGTTTCCAAGAAAACCGTCTATTACTGCTACGAAAAACTCTGTGCTTCAGATTCATCCTGGGTCATTGTATTCTGGAACAATCTGCCCGATTTTAAGGTAGGAATTTGAGGGCCTACAAAAATTCTTTCTTCTGAATGAAGCCGGTAAAGTCTTTCTCAAGTTTTTTTCGTGACATTGGGAAATAGAGATTCAATTTTAGGGTAAACGTAAACTCATCGCCAATTAGCATGTATGCCTTCTTATGTAGTACATACTTATCACCGAGATAAAACCAGAGATTTTAAAATAAACTCCGAGAGATTTGCAAACTAATCACTGGCCTAGCTGCACCCTGTGGCAGGTACAGAGCATAAAATGTTTGCAAACCACTAAGGTTTGATAATTTAAAAGAATAATAAAAGTCCGGATGTATTTACAATTAAATGTTAAATTTTCTGAATAAATATGATATCTTAAATAAATACCAACATGGGTTTCTTCCTAATAAATCTAGAGAGAGTACTTCTATTTTTCATAATTTAATTATATCCACGCTGCTTTGGATCAAAAAAGGTATGTAGGTGCACTCTTTTTTGATTTAACTAAGGCTTTTGACTCTATTGACTTTGAAATTATACTGCATAAATTGGAAGCCCTTGGTTTTCGCGGTCATTTCTTGAACTGGTTAAGGTCATACTTACAACATCGTAAATTCCTAGTAAAAGTCGATAATAAGAAGTCATCTGTTTTTATTCTTGATCAAAGTGTACCGCAAGGCTCCGTATTGGGACCCTTAATATTTCTTTTATATGTCAATGATTTGATAATTTTTTTAACTGCAGATCATACAGTTAGTTCTCTATGCAGATGATTCATCAATTGTAGTTTACGAGTCAACTGAAGTCGAACTCATATCAAAAATGAACTTGGTAGCACAGGAATTTACAACCTGGTGTAAAAGGAACTATTTAATGTAAATGCAAAGAAAACTATTTGTATGCAGTTCTACTCGCACTGTAAGCCATCCCATGAGTATAAGATCACAGTAAGTTCTGAGGAAATACCTTTTAGTGATACAACATTATTTCTTGGTAGCATTCTAGAAAGTAATATGACATGGGATGAAAATGTTACTAAAGTCTGCAAAACAATAAATAAGGGTTACCATGCGATCCTTAAGTTGAAAACTCTATTTAATACCAATCAATTGATAAGCGTGTACTATGCATTGTTTTATTCATATATGGCCTATAATGTCTTGTGGGGAAACGCTAGGAACTCTTTTAGAGTTTTTATAATCCAAAAGGGAATTCTTAGAGTGATAATTAATATTGATAATAGACAATCATGTCGTAAATATTTTATCGAACACAGACTGTTGACTTTCCATGCTTTATATATTTATAAGTGTATTATTCACGTCAAAACTAAATTTCAAAATTTTTCCCTCAACTCTGATTTTCATAATTACCCTACAAGATATGGAAGGTTGATAAGCATGTGTAAATACTCCACAACTCTTTTTGAAACTAGTCCTGATTTTGCAGGATCTAAAATTTACAATTGTTTGCCACTTAATATGAGAAATGAAAATAATATTCAAAAATTTGAAAATAAATTAAAATCATGCTTGATCCAATTATGCGTTTACAACCTAAATGATTATTTTGACTTAATAAAAGACTACAGGGCATGAGGACCGAATGGGTTTAGAGACGCTCTATATCACATATCATTTTTATATTAATCTATATTTTGTTGATTATGTTTTATGTAACTATATGACTTCCTATATCAGAATGTAATCTCATTGGATTAATAAAGAATAGTCTATTCTATTCTATTCTATTCTATTCTATTCTATTCTATTCTATTCTATTCTATTCTATTCTATTCTATTCTATTCTATTCTATTCTATTCTATTCTATTCTATTCTATTCTATTCTATTCTATTCTATTCTATTCTATTCTATTCTATTCTATTCTATTCTATTCTATTCTATTCTATTCTATTCTATTCTATTCTATTCTATTCTATTAAATACAAATGCAATACATTGACTCATATTAGTCATCATTCCTCAACCTCTTGCATCCACTGTTGGATATAGATCTCCCCCATGTTCTTCCACTGTTCTCTATCTTGCGCCTTCTGTATCCAATTTCCGACTGTTTTTCTTAAGTCGTCCATCCATCTTTTTGGTGGTCTGCCTCGGTGTCTTTTGTCTTCTCTAGGTCTCCATTCTATGAGTCTTTTGGTCCACCTATTATCATTTAAACGTGCTATATGTCCAGCCCATCTTCATTTGGCTTGTGCAATTTTTTCTATGACATCTGTCACTTTAGTCCTCTCTCTCACTATCCTATTTGGTACCATATCTCTTCTAGTTATTCCCAACATTGCTCTTTCCATTTTTCTTTGGGTTACTCTCAATTTATTTGCAGAATGTTTGGTTAAAGTTATTGTTTCGGAATCATATGTTATTACTGGCAGTATGCATTGGTTGTAAACCTTTTTCTTCAAGCAAATCGGTAGCGTTCCTTTTAGAATATCTCTCATCTTGCCAAATGCTGCCCATCCCAAGCCTATGCGACGCTGAATCTCACAAGTTTGATTGTCGTTTTCTATTCTAATTTCATACCCTAAATAGATATAGCTAAAGATCTGATGTACTTCGTTCCCATCTACCCTCATAACATCACTTGGAACTAAATTGGTTATGTATTTTGTTTTTTCAAAGTTTATGTTCAGGCCTATTTGTTCTATTGCCTAGTATTAGTAAATTCCGCTAAATTATATTGATAGCTACCTAAAACCATGCGAAAATAAAAATTTCTCCACTCACAGGGAGACACCTGATATAAATAAATATATAAGTTAAATTTTAAAGCAATTTGCTTAAAAATATTTCTGAATTGAATAGATTACCAAATAAACAAGAAGTGTGACAGATAACAGGCAAGCTTTCGCATTAGAAACTAGTGCCTTGGGTAAAAAATGCTGGTGATGAGTTTACCTATCTCCAAAGGATGCCGGTGATCAGTTTACTATATCTTGGAAGGTCTAATAATTTTAGGGGGGCCATAAAGTAATAAGTTCGTACACGTCCCAATTTTATATAATATATTATATAATACATTTTAAGAATTTATTTTAAAATATACTAGTATGTTCTATTACGAATACCTTGTTTTCTTTTACTGTGCAATAGGAAACAACTTGTACATTAGATATTAGTTTTCAAATCAATAATTATGTATCATAAAATTATCCTAATTTATGTAATCAACTTATCGTTTTATCGATCTATTAGGCTGTATTCAATGTTGACCCAGAAGTTAATTATGCTACCGCTAAAGTGTACAAATCCACCTGTTACCATGTTTGCTTTAATTTCCAATGATTTATCCCTACAAGATAAAAAATACCACAAGTGAGATATTAGGGATTAGAAGCTTAATAAAAAGTTCATCGCATTAAAGTTCGAAGCAGACTAAGAGATAAATCCCCCAGGTGATTCATAGTTTGATAAACTTCAGAAACAGCTCTCAGGGAAAGCACATTTCTTGGATAATTTTTTGCTTGGCATTGGCGTGTTTATTCGTCTACGTCAAAGGTTGTTACCGCTAAAATGTATTATGGTGAAATATTTATCTAATGCTTCTCACAAAAATCTAAAATAAATTTTCTGTATTTTAAATTCTCGAAAACATTTCAAAAGAAAAGGTTAGTGTAGCGAAACACTTTGTCGTTTCACGTATTATTTTTGAGTGTTTTTATTATTTAAAAAGGGTGTCATCAGGTGCCACCAATCACGC